CACCGGAGGCGCGCGCGCGCGCTCGGCCGCGCCCCTCGACGGCCGCGGCGTCACCGGCACCGCCCACCCGCGGCGTGGCCACGCCCCTTTCCCGCCCGCAGCGCGCGTCTGAGCCACGCCCACCTCTGACCACGCCTCACCTGTGTCCCCGCCCACAAATAATGCACAAGCCACGCCCATCAATCATAAGCCCGCCCATTATCGCCGCGCGGGCTCGGTGGGGGCCACGTGACAGCGAGCGCGGCCCCGCCCCTTCCCGCGGTCACGTGCCGCCTCCCCCGAAGGGCGGGCGCGGCCCCTGAGGGGACCCGGCCCCTGAGGGGACCCGCCGCTCCCAGCGCGGCTCTTAGCGCCTCGCCACCATTTCGCCACCATTTCACCACCATTTTCATCACTTTTATTAAAAAACCCCACAAACTTGTATCTTGATTTGTCGCCCCCCTCGTCCGTGAATCAAAATCTGCGCCGTGCAGTTCAAGACCTGCAGAAGAAACCGACAAAGCAAAGCGCTTTCCTTTCTGTTCCTTCAAGATTCGAAATATTCTTAGTGTAAAAAAAAAAAAATCAATTTAACTACTAAGAAATTAAAATGTTGTTTCTGTGTGCAAGGTAAACTGCCATTGGTGGTTCCAGTAAAAGCTCCAAGAGCATTGATTTGTTTAGACCTACAGCCGCCAGCACAAACACTTCAGCAGAAGCTGCACAACTCCTGTCATGTTTAACAGTGTAATTAACAATCGTCCAAACAGTGTAATTAATAATCATACAAACAGCTGTTTCTCTTGGATCTATATGACTGCTGAAGATGCAGTTCTGATTTTCTTCTTGCCCAACAGGAACGACTGAAGGCAATCCCGACAGCCCCAACAATTCCTCCACGCTCCTGAGAGCCCTGTCAGCCTTGTGGCCATGACCACTGGCTGGGATTTCCCCTCATTTTGTACAAAACACCACCAAATTTTCACTTCAAGTTACCCCAAATCATCCAATTTTCACCTTTCAAACTAAAGCTGCACCTGAAATCTGTGTTTTCCCTTTACCTCTCCCTGTGTGCCTGGGTGTCCGCAGCCCCCGTGGCAGGGCCCAAACACTCGGTGTGGTTCCCTGCCCTGCCCTGCCCAGCTATGGCACTAATCCCGAGCCTTCCATGCCCGGAGGATTCCGTTAAACTCAGCAG